TGAAAAATAGTTGGGGTAGTGCCTCACAGCCCAGGGTAGCAATTTGCAAGTTGTGAGCATGGCAGACGCTATGCCCAGTTTTAGCCTGCAAGGTAGTAAGGAAAGTTTGTCGGCACTGCCTCTTACGCTCACCACCCTGGCGGGTGAAGATATTCACATTGCTATCGACCCGCACGAGCACGACAAAGGGCAGCTCAAAGGGGAAGCCAAAGCCATACGTGTGCCTTTTGGCAGGAATGACAAAATTCCACCTCAAGCTTTTTCCTTCCACACAGAAGTCCGTCATGTCCTAGTTGAGGCCGGCATCCGGATCGTAGGGGAACCTGCTTGGAGGAGCTGTCAGCGACTGCAAGTAGTCCACTTACCGGACACTGTTGTCAGCCTGAGGCACGGAGCATTTCGCAGGTGCTGTGTCCTGCGTGCGGTGACGGCCCCTGGATGCAAACAATTCGGCATTAAGGTTTTTGAGGCGTGTTGCTCACTAACCCAAATTGGAACGACTCAACACCCTGACAATCTATTAGCCCCCCAAGCGCAGTTTCGGCCTCGAGCTTTTGAAAAGTGTACGGCCCTGCGTCACCTTAACATGGACAAGGCAGAGCATGACCCGCACACCCGAACAGATGCTTGCCTGAATGTTGTTTCTTGGAAGCAGGAATTGTCTCACTTTCCCTGCCGCCAGACTTTAATTGGGTAGGACCGGCTGCCTGTGCGCGTTGCCAGCAGTTGCAGATCGTTGACTTGTCCCGAACGGGCATCATCGAAATATTGGGCTCGACCTTTGCACACTGCTTGCAATTGCAACAGCTCAGGCTTTCCCAAAACTTGCGAACCATAGAGCAAGAAGCTTTCCTCCAGTGTGCCTCGCTACAGGAGGTTGGCATTCCGCCATCCCTGCTTTACATTGCGAGGCGTGCTTTTGCAGGTTGCACGCAACTTCGCGTATTTCGTAAAATGGGGAAAAGCAAGACTTGGCGAGGAACGTATGCCCGGATCAACGCTATTGACAAATGTGAGCAACTAGACAAGTCCACGTGGCTTCGCTTCTTGCCGCCAAATGCCAAAGATCAGTGGAGAGAAGATTTTAAAGAAGCGATACCCAAGGACTTAGAATGCCCAATCACAAAGGGTTGGAGTGATTCCTCTCTCCCACTCCGTGAATGCTTGCCAGTCGACTCGAAGTCCAAACAGAGTCACTACTCCGCCTTCCTCACCCACGATTTTGTGAGCCTACCGGGATGAGAGCCTTGGCTCCTCGTCCCTGGCAGGCGGGTGGTAGCGAATGGGTCTTCAATTTCACCGGTCTCACACGGGCCTTGCATGTGACAGGATGGTGTCTCTTCGAGGGCACCAGCTCATGGATGGATGATTCACCCCTCCTTGGCACAATTTTGAGAGCCAAGGGGTGCAAAGACGACCTCTCTTGTGGGAGGGAACGCAGCGCCTTCGTCAACAGGCCTTTCGTTTGCTTTGCCTCCTCCGCCAGACTCAAGATCTGCCTCTCACTTCGTTCGTGCAATCAGTTGTGTGGTTGTACTGCGAAAAGGGATTTTTCCATGGCTAGCCTGGCACTGCAACAACTGACTTCCTTTGGCAAGAATCAATACTGCTGACAGTCATGATGAGCCCCTGGCTAAAAGCTGCTATACCCTGACTGCCACTCGATGCAGTGGCCATGTGGTCACGTCTTGATGATAGGACGAAGCCACCTTTGATTGGCTTCGCTTGCTCTTCGCTCTCGCACAGATTCACTTGGCAGACTTCGTAGCGAATTCAGGCCCTTAGATAGTTTTCAGCCAACTTTCTCACTTGTCTCACCTCCGTACAGAGGAAACGCTGTCAGCTATGATGGGGAATCGGCCTCTGGCCTTTGGTGGTTTTGGTTGTGTTTTTGGTTTGTTGTTTTGTTTGGTTCTGGTTTGGGTGCTTTCTTGTGTTTTATTCCCCATCATCATGTTGTGTTTCCTTTCCTTTCAACGATGACCTGGGCACACCGCCCACATGGCGTCCGTACTCGTGGAAAAATATATTATAATGATTAGTTTTATAACATTTCGTAATTTTACAAAATATATATTTTTTAATGGAATTTGAAATTAGTTTTAAGGCTAAGGAATTGCTTTTGGGGGGAATGTATGGATGGGATGCAATTGATATTAATCTATTTATTATGTATTTTAGTTGTTTATTAATTATTTATTGTACTTTTGGATTTTAAATTATATAGAATAATTATATATTAAATTGATGAATATATATTTTAAAAGATAATATATAAGATATAATGATGATGGAATGATATATCGTATATAGTTCGATGGATATAATATAAATAAGATAATAAAATATATTATATATGTAATAATATTTATTTGAAATCGATTTATGCTAATCATTTTCGAATTAGGAGGATATTTGAATATTTAATATAATAGGAATGATATGTGTTATTTGATTTATGCATAATGGAAAAAGGAAGATTTTGATATTTTTATGGAATTTGTTAAAGCTTGGGATTTGGAATTCGGATATCTTATCGTAATTGATTATATCCGATTATATATCATCCGACGATACATTATTTCTTGATTTACAAGATATTTATTAGGGAATTCGATATCTTTATCTCCACCAATGGCAAGAATATTCGAAATACCGATCAAATTCCTTATGCATTTCGATGAAATCAACGGTGATTCTGACTTCCGCCAGATATTTGCCAAATTATCTCTTAGGCAAAAGGACATATTGAATTAGATATCTTTCGATCCCAATTTCCTAATATTCATCCAGATAGACAAAGGAATCATCCTTCCAATCATGATCCTGGCCTCAAACAATATGTTCTCACAAAGGAAACATGTCAAAATATATTTATTTATTTGTTTTTTAAATATATATAATTCTTGAATACAGGGGGGGAATTCATGCAATGTGCCGCCAAATTACATCTCCAACACAAAGACGACGTATTAGAAGACGATTAATACAAGAAACAAACATTAATGGAAAGAAATATCTAGAATTTTCTTTCCCAAAATTGCCAATTAAGAACCATTATCTTGCGAAAAATTCAATTGTAATATTAAAATATTTCTTTATTAATTCCAACTTATTCATTATATATATATATTATTTTTATATATTATATTCAATTATTTTTCAATATTTGATAATTTTCATATTATGTATTTAAACATAATTTGCATCATCATTATTATGTTCATTAATATATATTAATCTTACAAATGTATTATTTATATAATCGCAATATATCCTACCAAAATTTAAATATCTAGAAATTAAATATCAATTCATCCTAAATCAAAATCATAAATATAAATTCTTAAAAACATTACAATATCTTTCTTTCAATTACGCCAAGAGCGGGTTGCTTGTGACTTGTTTAATTAAGTGCATAGGGCCCGTTAGAAGTTAGCTGGAAGAGATGGAAGAACGGGCCCGTTAGAAGTTAGATAGGGTCCGCTATCCTTCATAACATCCTCATCAATTCCAAATTCCATTTTAGGAATAAAAAAATAGAATGAATACATAATATTTCTCAAAAAACAAATGATAAAAAATGTCTTATTTATCATTAAATGTCATCAAATAACAATATATATACATAATTATATTAATTGTTAGTTGTATAATTCATTCCAAATGTAATATATATATTTTTATTTAGTTAGATTATATATTTATCTATTCATGTTCATTCATTTCCACTCTGATTCTATCAGGCCCGTGTTGGGCTGCACAGCTAAGTTGCGGATGCTTCTAGAGCGTCAAATAGCCACGGTTACGGTGTTAGATATATCAAAATTTGATGAATCAAAAAATCGAAAGGCCAAAGACCGGCATGGCAAAATCATATCAGGGCGTGCTCTATTATTTTCGAGTCCCAGGCCAGATGTGCCATCCTTTTTCAGGAAAAGGCCATAGCCAAAAAATTTGACAGATTCGTCATTGGCTCAATTGGACGTCTCCAATATAAATTCAATGTATCATTGGACACCAACCAGAACAAGGGTATCAATCAAAGGACACAGGACGGCAATTCGATCATCAACAATCACCCAAATATTATCCGAACTCACATACATTGGTAGTGTCCTACACAAGGCTCCGTACCGAAGTGGCACAAGATCGAGGCCACTCGATATAGGCTTTCCACTGGACCGTTGTGCCTGAATTGGCGACGAAGATAGATATGAACACCTTAGCCCGTGCGAAATCAACAATTGCATTATTCTTGGCATTCAAATCAGGAAATCTTTCGAATTGCAGGAGGATGTACGGCAGGCATTCATAAATGGGATTGTCGCGCATTTATCAAGAATTGAAAACTACCCCTATTTTCTGCCGACAAACATAAAAGGATGGTAATAATTCCATTATCCTCAATGCTATTGATAAATCTGCTTTGCCACCCCTTTGCAAATGATGCCATATATAATTATTAAATATTTGTATTCGTGACCATCCCACAAATTCCACAACATTTCCCCTAGCGTCGCCCCGAAATCAACTATCGAATAAATTGCCAAAAGAATCGCCAATACCAAAATGTAAAAATATTGCAGAAAATCACAGAAAATCAATATATATATACCAGCTCAACCGTATCAACCCGAAATTGTACATTTTTTTTAAAAAAAATTGTCTTTTTGATTTTGGTATAACAATTCTTTTCTGGAACACGTATTAGAAAAAAGGACATATATTGCGTAATAGCATAATAGCATATAATACATGCAATATAGATTGAGATCATATTATGCATGCAATTAATATAGATCATATCATGCAATAATAAATACATGCAGTTTTGGGCTCAAAATGAATTTGAACTGGACCTGCGACATGCAGTACCTGCAGTGTGGCTGGCATGTTTATAGGACGGGCGCTGGCAGCACATGATCGTCAACATGACCATATGATATATTATGTTTGAGATTTCTTTTGGCCCAAGTAGACTTTGAACTGAGAACGTCATGGCGGTGCAGGGGGTGTGCACTGATCTTGAGGGCTTGGCAGCCTTGTGGGATGGCTGTACCCAGGTCCGCGCGAGGATCAGGGAGTTTCGCCAGATGTGCTTGGAGAAGCCTGCAGCAGATGATGAGAAGCCTTCTGCTGGAGATGTGGGCAGAACAGTGGCCAATCTGAAGTTCAACAGCTGCGTGATTGAGCCATTGGTACCTTGATTGTATATAATAGTTTTATGCCATGTGGCCGGTAATTATATTTTAGCTGGTGCGCTTTTCACATTCAAGGCAAAAATCATGGTCGAGAAAGGTGCCTCGCAGTTGATTCCTTGCATCATGGCTCTGCTAGCTGAAGTGAAAAAGGTGCATGAGGACAATGGGAGCTTCATGTCCAAGAAAGATCTCAAGGATCAGGCATGGACTGTGCGCTACCTCTTTGGGGTCTTGAAGCGGCTCACATACAAAGATGCACCTCCAGCAGAGTCTTAAGCCGCACATGCATGCATGGAAAATAAATTAACATGATATATAGAAGATGTGAATTTATAATCATGAAAAACAATAAGTGCACTTATTGCATTTGCCATGAGGATACTACGCTGCTGAAGCTGCTGCAGAGTTTTGGTGTAGACACGGTGGTTTGGGTCAAGTCTTCGCCGCCAACTTCAACAGCCAGTCCAGCTCCAAGTTCTCAGCTCTCTTCAACGGCTTCCAAAGAGTCGGTTGCCTGGCATCATATGCATGGCATGGTCACTGTCATACAGATGCATGGATATCGACATTATATGCCATGGGTCATATCATGCATGCATGGTCATATGCCATGGATAATACATGCATAACTATATGACCATAATTGTGGTGTTTTATCAAAATAATCATTGATATATGTTACAACCCAGGTTGAGAGCCTACCATCCTGCCCAGCGTCCGGGGGCGTGGCAGCAAGCTCTGTGGGCATGGAGGAGCCGCAGATGAAGAAGGAACCGGCACCGCTCATGGCCTTAGCACTGCGGCGGCAGCACTTGGCAGAGATGCATCCTGCCCAAAATATATGTCACGCACGCATGCATTAATCAGCAAGACTTCATGCACAATAACTGTTGTAATATTGGACCATTGTTCATGCCCCTTCATGTCAGGTTGAGAGCTTTGAAACTTGAGCGAAAGAAGGAGATAGAAGCTGGCCGCTTGCATGCTATAGTTTGTAAGGTTGTGCTTGAATATAGTGTGAGTTATCATGCATGCTCAAATATATTTATATATATCTGACTTCATGAGGTGGAGTGGACAATGTGCAAACTCTACCAATGGACGTGGATGTGGTCGCAGCTGCTGAGAAGCTCATGGCCCCAGACGGGGAGAAAGGATTTGTTGCAGTTTCTGCCGAAGGTCCTGCGCAGGCTGCTTTGGGGCAAGTTGTGAAGACCCAGGCTGCACTGGCCCCTACAGATGAGCAGCTGGTGAAAGAAGACCTGGATGAGAGCATCGGCAACAGCCTCCATCCTCGCCAGTTGGACCATGAGTTTTCCACGGTTGATGAAAAGCTGCTGCTACAGGATCTTGTTGCTCCAGTTGCGCAGGAATCTGCAACCTGGAATCAATTAATGTTTGCAAGCATTCATTTGATTTTTTTAGCATATACACATGCATCGATCCAATGCGCAATATTTTTGATTGAGGTCCTAATTCTGCGGCGCATGAGCTTGAGAAAGGAGCCTCTGAGGTTGAGGGAGAGGATCTTCGGCGCGAGCAATTGAAAATGCGATCCAATGAAAAAGCAAAGGCTGAAGAAGAGAGGGAGAAAAAGAAACAAGAGAAGGCAAGCAAGCCGAAGTCAGCTCCCAAACCTCGAGGCAGACCAAGGAAGGCTCTGGAAGATGACGGTGCAGAAGGCAGCTGTCCAGGAGGTGCATCCAAGAGGCAGAGGAGGGCACCAAAAAAGAAGGAGGAGCAGCCGGAGCAGCAAACAGAAAACCCAGACCCGGTGGATGACGCAGTTTTGGCGGAGTGTTTCAACGCAATGCGCCGGTTCGAGAGTGCAAAGTATGACAGGTTCAGCGATACACTTCACCTTCATGAGTTCCAGAGTGTCAAGCCTGTGCCATACTGGGATCGCAACGATGTTGGTTTGAAGGTGCCCATTGATGCTTCCGGAAAGTATGGACAACGTTGCTAGGTCTGAAATTATAGACAATGTTTTTGTCATGTACGTCGACTTCAATAACGGGTGATATTATTTTACTTGAGTTTTCTATATAATACTGCAGGCTTCTACTTCAGCCACAAGACCACCATTGCTGTGAACATCATTGTGGCCCACAAGGTTGCGGAAAAGCTTGAAGCCTTGTATTCATGCACTTGGCCTGCAATATATGATATGGATAATATGATTTGCAGTGTGCCCTAATAATTGCTATAGACATTTGTGGCAGCCAAGGCACTCCTGTGGAATCGGCAGCGACTGTGTATCTTCTCCCGGAAATCCAGGAGTATACCCGGCTGATGCATAGCACAGCTGCGGCTGCCATCAGGAGTTTTAAGAGCACCTGAAGTGTGCTGGGAAGAAGAGCGGAAAGAGCAAAAATGCATGAGAGCTTTTGAGCTTATACTCCCATGACATGAAAATAGACATGTTTTATGCATGCATGCGAGCTATAAGGTTGAAATATACTCTACAATAAGGATTGCACGATATTATCCATGCTTTATTCACTATTCATGATCGCACGATATTTATATCCATGTGTTATTCATTATTCATGGCATGCGTACAATCTTTGTCAACATGCATTGTATATAGCGCGTGGCGTGCCTCATAATCTACCATGTCAACATTATGATATTCAATTCTATTGCGTGGCAGGTGCATGGCGTGCTGCTGCTGCTGCGCACTGCTGCTTTGGGCGTTGCTCGCATTTGAGGCTCGGCCTGCCAAAGATGGGAACAGAACCTTGGACTCAAAAGTTGAACAATGAGAGCACACGTTTCATACCCTGTCATCTGATAATGATAAAAGACCTGAAAGGCATGTCATGAAGAAGACATACAAATAGTGTTCATAAGGCATGTCACGCAGAATGCATACAATAATAGACCTGACAGTGTTCATGAGAATGCACGTCTGTTGTGTGTGCATGTGACTTGCAGCGCTTCTCCAACTCAGCAGCAGGGAGGGCTCAAGCTAAGATGGAGCTTTCTGCTGGAAGTGAACGTGGAGGAGGAGACTCGGCAGCACATGAACAAGATAGGTTGATGCGCCTAACAGATGCTGTATATCGTTAATGCATCTAATGTATAATACGCAGTACTGCATTTGAACTTGCTTCTGCAGGAGAGGCTGACATTAGCCCGCGGGTGAGCATCAATCCTCCGCCACCACCGGCACCACCGCCGGCAATAGCGCCGGCTCCGAAACCGCGGCCGCAACAGGGCCAGTGGCTGCAGTGCTGGCTCTTCATCCCGGAGTCGGCAGGTGCGCAGCAGCCTCCAAGGCGGGCCCCTCGAGTTGTTCCACCACGGCGGGTGGCAGAGGCATATGAAGACGTCGAGGAAGAGGAGATTGAGGAGCCGACGCCCA